GCATGCGTTAAAAACGTATCTGACATAATAACAAATTTTTTCAGTGCAAAAACATCGTATGTGACAGTAACCTAAATCTATATGTAGAAAGTATTCAAGAGGGCCAACAGCTTACAGTCTGATTGCCTCTGGTCAACCAAAAGGTGGGTAGTCAATATTTTTTTGTCTTGGCTTATTTTGTTGGCTCAGAGCAAAAATATCGTGACAATTTGGTCAAATATGAGTTGAATGCAGATTGTTACTCGTATAACACTCGGAGAACCTCGCATGCGTTAAAAACGTATCTGACATAATAACAAATTTTTTCAGTGCAAAAACATCGTATGTGACAGATTTTAATCTCAACTCGGCGGCTTATAGTACTGATGATGTCACTGCCATCTAATGACGTCACCTAATGATCTCACTGCCCTCTATTTAGTCAATGATTAATTGTCGGGCATTCCTTCGCTGATATCATGCATCGAAGACGCATTTCAAGGATACCTCTGGAGAAAATGATGGAAGCGATCAATGTTGAGTCAAGATTTAGGTAATAATGTATCTCATTGTCGTAGAATCTCTGTTCCTAGGCCAAACAGTGATCTGCATTGCCCCTCGGCCTCATCTAGGCTACTAGGCTATTAATACCTACCATGATTAATAGCAAATTATATTTACTATTTTGGGTCTGCTCATGATGAATTTTGTATATCAAAATTCACCTTCTTACAGGGCTTTTTACAACCTACCCTACAATGAGGGCTGGGTTCACTAAATTACTCAACCATCAGACAGAGTTTTTCATTTGTTTTGCAGAATCGGATGACGAAGACATCAATGATGATCGCGACTTGGATTTCGAGGAAGACCTTGATAATAGTATAGAATCAGATTCAGATGATGATAATATCCCTGACATAGACATGGGTCAAATCAGAAATTGGTCAGTCTGAGCATGGAATTATGAAATTAAATCTACATTAATATAATCTTTTCAACAAAAAATATACACAATTAGGCTACAAAAAACACAAATCCTGAAGATAAAATTGCTTTTAATCACAAATTTTTTTGAGATTTTGATTACCTACCCAATTTGTTTTTGTTACGGACGGAATTCAGTAATTTATAAAATTTCCAAAGGACAACTTTGTCAACAAATGGCATACAAAATATTAATAATTTTACACTTCTGTATACATCACATAAAAGTTTATTTACTTGACTATTAAAAAGTGCTGAAATATTTTAATTTTGGCCAAAGACTTCACAGACTTTCGCCAAAGTTGTTGTGCTGTCAAATGAGTAAATTTGTGTGACACTCACATAAAACCAAATGACTCTGAAAATAAACTCATTAAATGATTTTCCACTCTTTTTTCTTAAGAAGTATGGTAATCTTAATAAACTAGTAAACAATTTTGTTTTTTAAGTTAATTAAAACAATTTTACTTTGACATTTTGTGTGTGATTTCCGTCCGTAACAATGTAGGCCTATTTTTGATTTGACCCACATTAGGGTACGTGCTGCCTCCCAAGATTTTGCACCTATACCAGGGCAACCCGACGACTACAGTCACAATGCTTTAGATCTTTTACAAGCACAACACAACGGCCAAGATGTTATTGAGGCTCTACCAGCGCAATCAGAGAGAGCAAGGAAACATAAACGTAAAGAAAGTCAGTGGAAGAAAGAGATAAAAAGGCACAAAGTCAACACCGGCTAGATAGATAAACACGGTGATAGTCATGGGAGAAAAGTAATAGAAACCTGCACATGCAAACGGAACTGTACAGACAAAATATCAGAGGAATAAAAATCCATTCGGACTTTTGGAAATTGAACAGTAAGACGAGGAGAAGGGATTTTGTGGTTGCACATGACTATGTGCTGTTTTGCTAAAAAGAGGTGTTTCGCTGAAAATAGTAAGAGACAGTCGACCTACATTGTACATGCTACCTAAGCAGAACACTAAAGTAACTGGGTGCAAAGTGTTCTTTCTTAATACACTGGATATATTTGACTACATGGTTCGGTACAATATAGATTACTCCGAGAGTGGAGTTGTTGTACCAGGTCCTTCTCATGAGCCGGTCAACAAGACCATGCCAGATAAAGTTAATGATGTCGAGGAGTATATCAGATCATTCCCGAAAGTTGACAGTCACTACTGTCGTTCTTCTACGAAACGTGATTATCTCGAACCAACGTTGAACATTAGAATGATGTACAGACTTTATAATGAGTCATGTGGAGATCGTGGAATGGAACCCGTAAAGGAAAATGTTTATCGTAAAATATTCAACGAAAAGTTTAATTTGGGTTTCCATAAACCTAGTAAAGATATGTGTGACTCTTGCGCATTGTATGATAATCTTAAAAAGGCAGACGGTTTAACCAAAGAACATCAAACAGCGCGGGATGCACATCTTGCACGGAAAGTTGAAGCAAGAGAAGCTTAAGCCGAGTGCCAATGAAAAATAGATTTCGGGGAAGGGAGGGTTTGATTCTCCCAAATGTACAGGCCTAGGGTGGAGCAGACACTTTATTTAAAAATTAGGATTAAGGGTCTTGATATTGGGTTTTCTTTTGTTCTTATTCTGATCTGAAATTAAAACAAATAACTCGCCCGATGGGCGAGAAGTATAGTATCTGTTATGTACTGATTGTTTTTAGTTTACTATGAACAATATTATCATTTAAGTTCTTATTTTTTGAATATGCAACTATCATTTTCTGCTTATAGACATGGGGGAATTTCTCTTGAAGGCTCTTATAATATTAATGAATCATATGCAGTCTAAGAAACCTTTATTCTCTCCACTCAGGCTTCGGCAGCTTGAGATTTATAATACCTAGATCTAGATTATTTAGATTGATGACAATGTTTAGAGACGAAAATCATCTGGGTCAAATGCGACA